CACTTTTAATGGCTTAGGCTGTCATTACATGTGAGTCTATGATCCAGAGAGGACTATATATAATTACATACAAGAAGTCGTGACTATTTGTTCCAAACTGGAGAGTGGAATTCGTAGGTAGGCAGATTTATACATTTTATTCACAATTCTACCGAAACACACTTGCGTCTATTATACACACCCACACACTTTTTTTTTTTTTTTTTTTTGAAAAGCTGGTAAGGCAAAAAGATTGCCTCAAAGCTTGGCAGGCAGCCAAACTATCCTTTTTTTAAGCTCCCAAAGCGCTTCGTACAGAAACCGGCCGGCGGCCGGGCGACGGGACCGACGGAAGGCTGCCGCGATCTTCGCCTTAGCAACGAACGGCAGCTGCTGGGAGCGACGGGGCTTCAGCCGCGTGCCGCCCAGGCGGCGACGGAGGACACGTGCAAGCATTTCCCAATAGCCAGAGAGCGGGGAGGGAGTCCCGCCAAGGCTCTTCCTAGAGCGGCTCCTGCGATCCCGGCGCTGCCCCGCGGGCTCGGAGTGACGCACGTCGCGTTGGAGGAGAGAGGCGGAAGGTAAAAGAGAAGCTCGCCAAGTCTCCGCTGAGCTTTGGCCGAAAGCAGCCGAGGCGGTCGCGGGCGGGAAGTTGGTAAGAGCGGCGTCGCCTTCGCCTTCCTTTCCCCTCACTCCTTATTCAACTTCCCTCCCCCTCTCCTCCCTTCCCCAGCCTTTAAAAAAAAACCAAAAAAAACCGAACGGGGCTCTTGTCGACCGGGTGGCTCTTAACTCGGGGAGCGCGCGGTTTATTTCCCGGCGAGCTCATTGAGGCGGTCGGCTGTTGCCTTGTCTTGCCGGCGGGGACTTTGGCCCCGCGGTCGGTGGCTTTTAGGGCGGTCGAGAGGCGTCTCGAGGGCTCCGCCTCCGTCCGGGAAGCATGAAAGGCCCCCGAGAAGCATTTCTTCCTCTCCGCCTTCCTTCCCTGGTTCCCCATTCGGGGCTCTGGTTTTTTCTCCGGGCCAGCGGCTCTCGGCAACCTTGAGCTTTGGAGCAGCTCGGCCGAGTAGCGTCTAAAGGCCGGCTTGCCGTCGTCTGGAGGGCGGGAGAGCCGCCGCCGCTGCCTAAGCGAGCAAAGGGAAGTCCGGCCGAGCATAGCTTTTGAAGAAGAAGTCCGAAGCGATGCTCCTCTGCTCGCAGCGGGGCTCCCACTCGAGCGGAGAAGAGCCCGAGGATGCCCGCCGAGGAGCTTAACGCTACCACTTTGAAAGATGCTCGGTTGAAAGACCTGCTTTTTCACAGAGGTATTCCAGCAAACCCTCCCCCCCCCCGCGCTCTTTTCTCGCGTAGCGTCCCCGCTTTGAAATTTCTTCTGAAAGGCTGCTTTTAATTGTCCTAGTGCCTCGGTGCTACCTTCCGTCCGGTAATTATTTCTCTCTGTAATTCTGGGCATATGTCTGGGCAACGACACGGTACCCCCATCTGGGTCCCTAATTCAGAAATGGGCAATGTGGCCTCTCCTTAGGCTCTGGGCTTACTTAGCTGGGCATTAAAACCAGACTGTATGGCCGTCGGCAAGGAACCCAGGGGAGAGCTTTCCCAGACAGAGAATCGTTTTAGTCGTCCCTGTTTACAATAACGGCAGCTGAATGAATGAATGAATGAATGAATAAATAAATAAATAACAATAACAACAACAAACTGCTTCCTCTTTAATGCATGCCTATTGGTGACAAAGCCTATGTATATCAAGGATTTATATTTATTATAGACCAAGGAGCAGTGCAAAAATGTATTAGAGTATCATCAAAACGGTTATCTAGAAGAATTATCTTGATTTGTATCTTTGGCCTTACGTTTATTTACTTTTTAATTTTCCACTTCACTTTTTTTCTGTTTTCCCAAAGGCCACCAGATATTTTAGCAAATCTTTGCAAATGTAAGTCTTTTCTAACATTGTTGCCTTAATGAAGAATTATTCACAATCAATACGTTTTTACACTTAAACTGATGTTTCCTTACTGAATGGATCATTTTGAGTTTGATAAGAAAAAAGGAGAGAAAGGACCAAAGCATCTCTTTATAATTTGGAAAACCAATTATTTTGTAACCCAAATTTCCCGGGCTAGAGATTCTCTTCCTCCCTTCTCGCACTTGCAATTAAATAAGCTTTTGTGTATCATGGTAATGTTCAGACAAAAAGAGGAAACGCTTTCTTGTAAAAAGAGGAAATGCTCTTTTGTAAAAATATTCAGAGCTCTTGATTTAGTTTAGAAAGCTACACATTTGGCAGATGCAGAAGTAATGGTATTCCATCTATCACTGTATTTCTAGGAAAGCTAAATTAACTACATTAAAATTACTCATGTCTGTTTCACAATAATGCAGTTGGCTCAACTGTTGGGTTATGGGCCTTTAAATTAGTTAATATTCAGAAATCCCTTAGTTCAGAGATAGTTGCTTTTAAAACTGAAACTTATCTTCTAGCCGAGGGAGAGCTTACAGGATACAGAATCAAAGGGAACATTTTGTACCTTCCTGTCACTAATTAAAAGTATAAGGACCTGTAGAAAAATAAAATGTATAGTTGCATATAAAGTTCCTGAACAAAGCAATAGAGATCTGTAATTGGCTGGATTGAAATTGTATCTAGCTAATACAGATTATTGTGAGAAAGTAGCTTGTAAAGCAGAAAAGGATAAATGATCAGTGTATTTTTCTTCAAACTGTACATAAAGTTGCTTTAAGCATGGAAATAACTGACAATATATAGGGAAATATGATCTCCTGCACTGTGTAGTCTATTTAAGAAATGTAACTTAGAACATGTGTCTTTATTGAAAATGTTGCTAGGTTTAACATTTTCAACATTTCAGTCCTAACCCATTTATACCTTTCACTATTAATAGAGAGGATGTTGACCAATACTTTTTAAAGATGTTAATTCTTATTCTTTCCCAAATTATTAGAAGCAATTCTGAATGAAAAAAAAAATACTTCACTGTGTTTTACATTTACCAATCCCAATTTACAAGAAAAGAAATGCAGATACACTCTCTGTACTTTTTTATAATTATTTTTATAATTAATTTGAATGTTTTGCATTTAAACATTCCTCTTGAGAAACTGAATATATTTATGAATTACAGAACCTATTGCAAGAGATTATAAGATTTAACATGTTACCAAAATTGTGCATTTTTCCTATAATTGTTTTCATTACAGAGTATTTTGGCAATGGTCAAAGGCATGTTTTGGTTGAAAAGTGGCTGAATTCTAGTCTATATGTGGGCAAACAAAGACTTGAATTTTGAGGAGTTCTTACACATATGAACAAGTACATTATCAGTCATTGATGTGCTTTTTTCTGTTAATTTTAACAGCTAAAGGTGTGATTCTTCAAGATTAATGATGCGACGTTTGTCCCAAAGTGCCATCATTTTAATTGATGCTGTAATTGAATCCAAGGCGTGTAAAGCAATTATGTCTTCTAAAAGGAAAACATAATGCCCAGGGGCATTTTTTAAAAAATCTTAAAGTCTTTTTTTAGGGGCATTGTGACTTTGAAAAACCACAGTGACTTTCTAGATTAATATCTCATCACCATGGTTTCACTGAAATAACAAAACAAAACAAATCAAGCAAAGGCAATCTCTGATCATTTTGGTGGTTATTGGCTTTAATAAGAGCAGTGTACATTAAGGATTTGTTTTTCTTGAACCAAATCCTTCTAGTTATTAATTCCATTATTATTATTATTTATTATAATTTATTATTTTATTATTATTTATTATTATTTCTATACTACCCTTCTCCCGAAGGACTCAGGGCGGTGAACAGAATAAGATTTCAGATACATATAATATTTTTTTTTATTTTTTATTTTATAAACAGTAAATAATAAATTGAGTCAATTTAGTGTATCTGCTAAAACCTTGGCATAGAATTTAGATGTTTATGCTAGCCCTGCTTGTTGAAACAGAAATGTCTTCAGGGCACTTTATCATTATAAAATGATAGCAGGAATAGCTGGTTGCACGTATGAGTATAATAGCAATAATAATAGTAGAATGTTAGAATGGTTTTCTTCTATGATCTGTTCTTTTTTTAGTTACTAATATGTAATACTTAGCATGTTTTTACATAGCCAGAGGAGAATCCTTAGAACTATTTGTGGAAACATTTGTATGAAGATTGTGTTTCTTTGCTTTATAGAATATTTTAAAAAGGTACAACTTAACAAAACAGCATGAGAATATATCAGTTTTGGCCACTTTTGCTATCTCTTTACATAGCATGAGGTATATGACCTGTTGCAATAATAAATAGTATTTTAATATCTGTCTCTTTCTTTCTGCCTTGAAGGATATGTTTTCACACAGTCCTATTATTGGCTTACTTTGAGTATGCTTACTATATACTTTCTAAATGCAATAAGAATTGTATATGTACCATGTTTTCCCGAAAATAAGACCCTGTTTTATATTTTTTTGAACCCTGAAATAAGCGCTTGGCCTTATTGCCATGCGGTCAAAAGCCTGATTGGGCTTATTATCAGAGGATGTCTTATTTTGGGGGAAACAGGTTAGATGTTACAACAATTATCCCATTACACTTCAGATTTTTTATCTGTTTATTATATGCTTGATCTAGGTCTGTGTCATTAATTACCCTGCAAGCTAAACTTGATGAAATCATTTCTAAAAGAAGGCATGATTGCATTGAATTGTAAGATGTGTACAGATCAAAACTCAAAGCATGGTGGGGATTGACTTTTGAAGAGGAGCAAATCTCAATACTGAAGACATAAACAATTCATCTCTGCTATTTCAGTGCTGTTTAGTACTTAACTGTCCATAAACAATTATTTTTCTTCTGCGTCTTGGGAATATTTTCATTACTGCGCAGAATTTTTTTTTTCTTTGACACATTGTGCAATTTATATGTATTGGAAAATTTATTGGAGTTTTGCTGTTTCTTGTTTCTGGCTTTAAATTATATCTTTTTTCTTTTCCTTACAGCGGAACTAGAGTTTATTCAGATTATCATCATCATAGTGGTGATAACTGTTATGATAGTAGTGATCATCTGCTTGCTGAATCATTATAAGGGGTCAACAAGGTCCTTCATCAGTCGTCAGAGCCAAAGCAGGAGGCAAGAGGACTCTTTACAACCAGTGAGTTTAAATTTTTACATATCACTTTCCTTAGGTACAAGAAGCAATGCTTTTGTAGCAGTTTTCTTAATCTTCTTCACTTGGCACACTCCATATGTATTAGGACCTCAGCTCCTGTTGGATTTATATCCTCAGTACATCTTGGGGACACCTGGTGGCAAGAGCTAATTTTCTTGCTTGTCGGCAGTTCAGGGCTAAGCGAAGGAAATAATAGCAATAGTCTCTGATGGATCTCCATATTATTTCATAAAGTTGGTTTTCACTTTATGCTAATTGATATAGCAAAATATGTTGTCATTTGGGAGGTAGGTTACCTTCCTGGAACTGATGACTAGACATGGACGGTATTTATATATTAGTAATGCTTTGAAGGTAAAGATGAAATCAGCAATCGGATGACTTCATGGATATATTGATCCTGTTTCCTTGACAGCTATATGGAAATGGTTTTGCCAGTGCCTTACATGCACTTTTTAATTTTACAGTTTACCTTATAGCCCTGGTCTGTACTAACCAGATTAGACTCTTATTTAATTTTCCAAGATTATTAAAGATCAGCTAATATTTTTGCTGTTTTTTAATCAATCAATTTGTACAGCTTTTAAAAAGGCTTTGTTTGCAATCTCATGCTTCGACCCAAAAGACTTGGGACAGGCATTCTGTGAGGTTCCTATAGCATAGTGAACTAATTGGAGAGAAAAGCAAGTTTTATGCATAATTGAGGCTTTATTTTTTAATCTCAGTCCCAAATGAGAATTTGTCTTCTGTGAATAGAAGCTGTGTGCCTAATGAACAAAGAAAGATGTCAACTGTTGCTAAAAACAGAAATAGAAATGACACCATATATGAAATAGAAGAAACTTTGCTTTTTTGTTTTAACCAACTTCTGCTTTGTTTTTTTTTTAAACAAAGTTGTTTTTTTAAAAACAAAGCAGAAGTAGATAAAACAAAAAGGCAAAAATATATTGTTTTGACTGCTCTTTCAATTAATTAAACTCTTGCAAAGGTTAAAGAAAGGATAGTTTATTCCCTCTGGAAAATATCTTGATGCAGGAAAAATAAGTTTGAGCAGACATAATTGTTTCCTTAAAAAACAAACCTTTAAAAATTAAGGACAATCTGCTTTCATTTTAATGAATGTGTGTGGTTTCATGTGCTGTGTGTGTATTTATTTTAGGCCACTGCAGCAATCTAGTTTCATAGGGGAAAATAATAATTGGGACACAGATGGCTCCTAATGCCTGACAGCTAGTCCTTAAAGAACCTGCATCTTTTCCTGGGCTTGCATAGAAGAAAATAACATGTTTAGTTTAGGGTGGTCACCATGTGTGTATCCATGCACACTTCCAAAAATCTGTTTCCTTTCTAATCCAAATTTCTGCATAGACCTTTTATTCATTGATTAAATTATATACTTCCCAGAGCCCATCTTCAAGTTAAATGGGCAGTTAAGAAATAAAATATAAATAAGTAAGTAAGTAAATAGTGGCAGTGCAGATTGTATTATTAAATTTAGAAAATTTGCAGATGAATAATGTGTAAGGCTACTGCAAACTTCTTAGCTATGTATAAAAGTATATGTAAACCTTTTTTCATTTGAAATAAAAGTATTCCCATAGATTCAGCTAGGGTATGACATTAATGTTTTTAAAGGAAACTCTGTCTTACATCACTGCAGGTTTATGAATAGCTAAAATGCATATATTTTCCTCCTATCCCATAAACTCATAATTCGTTACAGCTATACTGTGAAAAGCTTATAGCAGACCACCTTGAATAATCATCATGTGAAGAAGCTGCCCTATGTGTTTGCAAACTATTAGTCCATTTAGATTCCTTGTCGGCTTTGTACAGTAGAATTTCAGAGTTCTCTGAGTGGTATTAGATCAGAGTTTCTCAACTTTGGCAACTTTTAAGAAGTTTGGACTTCAACTCCCAGAATTTCCCAGTCAACATGCTGACTAGAAAAATTCTGGGTTTTGAGATGAGATCCACCCTTCTTAAATTTAACAAGGTTGAGAAATACTGTATTAGATGATGGGATAAAGAGTAGGGGTAGTTCTGCAATAGGATGGTGAAGCAGTAGAAAGGTAAAAGAGAGGAACACACATTTCCTCAGAGCAGTTGCTGAGAATTGGACAGATTTCAGCTGAGAGAGGAAATGGGGAGGACAGGATGTGAAACTGCTCTTTCACCGGTCCTTTCATTTTCTTTAAAATCACTTTTAGACATTTGTGCATTGAATCAGTATATGAGTAAAGGCATGAGTGTTCTGACCTCATCCTTCCTTCTGACACTATCCTCACTAGTTTGGATTACTGCTGGATATTTGTTTACATGAATGTCTGCCTGGCAGAAGCCTTACAACTTTAGCCATTATATAGCATTATAAGAGACCCAATTTGATGTAGTAGTTAAGGTATCAGACTAGAAACCGGGAGACCACAAGCTCTAGTCCCACTTTATACACAGAGCCAGCTGAGTGACCTTGGACCAATCACTTTCAGCCCTAGCAAGGAGACAATGGAAAACCACTTCTGAAAACATTACAGAGAAAAATGCAAGAAAAAAAAACATATATTGCCTCATTGTTTAAGAAAACAGACAACATAAAATTCTAATCTTGGAAAAATATTTTCCCAGTGTTTTCAGATTTTTTTTCAGGTTTTCAGCAAACTTCACTTTCATTTCTAATTTCTTTGTGTTTATGTGATTCTATATATTTTCCGGTGAAATACAACTTTTCTCAAACTATGTGCTTAGAATACCTTGTCCATTTTAATGCATTATGAACGTACATTTCAAAGAAATATTTTTAAAGAAATAAAATGGGTCTCTTCTCTGCCCCAAGGGAGGGTTAGACAGTATCTAGGACAAAAGGCTTTGGTGTGCAACAGTAATATTCAGTATTTAAGACCTCTTGCTGCCACCTAGAGATAACATTAAAAATAATACTCTAAACCATTTATTGGTGAATGCAACAAAACTTTTATGTATTACAGTGAATATATTTTTGTGAGACACGCACACACAAAACACACTTTTAAAGACTGATGAAAGAATCCAGGGTTTACAAATATTAATGCTGGGCAAGGATATGTGCTTCATAGCTGAAGAAAATCTTTATGATAGGATGTATGCAAATTTCTATTGATGAGCCATGCCCATTTTTGTTAGTGATTCAAAAGCTTTAACCTATAAATACTCATATCTGAAATTGGCATTCATCTCTATTTTAGTCCAATGTACAAATCGTATGTTGGTTTAACAGATGAATTGTTGAATTAATATTTATAATCCTGTGTAACGTAGAAGAACAGTGTGCTAAAAGTACAACCTGCTTTATTTCTGAGAAATGGTTACAAATCGAATTTTGATTCTAAAGAGGAACTATTCTGTAAGGGTAAACTTGAAGAATAGCAGAGAGTGGAGAAAATCTCCATCCAAAGGAAATAGTGAAGGAGATAACTCTTATTTGATCACAGATTTGTTTGGGCATGGAATGACAAATTGCACCCAGCAATTGCATTCTGGCATGTTCTATATACCAACACCGTATTTTTCAGAGTATAAGACGCACCTTCCCCCCCCCCCCAAAAGAGGCTGAAAATTTGGGTGTGTCTTATACTCTGAATGTAGCTTTTTCGATGCTTTTTTTTCAGCCCTAACGATGCTAGCCATCTTCCACGCACTTTGCTTGCTCCCTCCAACTCTCAGCTGTGTTTTAGAAGCTGTGTTTTTTATCCTCAAGCAGGGGATAAAAAGCGTGCATGCTCAAAACCAGCAAATTAATGTGCTGAAGCTGACCAGACTAAGGATGCTAGCCTGATGATACCTAGTAGGCAGATTTTCCCCCCCTATTTTCCTCCCCAAAAACTAAGCTGCGTCTTATACTCCGAAAAATACAGTAATTATAAGGGACAATTAATTGATGGAAGTCTGTTCCCACCTATTTTAAAATTCTATACTCTATAAAATTGTATTTATTTGAATGTTTCAGTTGTCACTGTGTTTTGCTATTAAATAAATGGTTTTCAGCAAATGTGTTTGTTTTAGTGAACATCTTAAATCAATTTCCAAATCTCATGTTAGTGATTTTGGCGGCCAAGTCGTGCTTTTCATTTTTGTTCATGAATGACTTACTTTATATAGTGGTTTAGGCAGAAGTAGTAATATTTTATCAATCATAATCATAATACAGGCAGCATTAATGTTTTTTTTTATTTGTAGAATGTAGCAACCTAAATTTAGTTAAATTTAAAAATCCATTGGCTCCAAATTCCCAAATTCTTTTATATTATCCATGTTCACCCTTTACTAAAATTCACACTGATGATCTTTGGCACCTGCTGCTTTGACTGACGTGACAGCAGCTTCCTGCTGTTTTCTAGAGGGCTTGTATTTTGTATGCACATTGGATTTCACATGAGACAGAGCACACAGTCTTAACTAATAAGGAAAACAAGGCACGTTTACTTCTACAGGCAATAACATTGATGTTAGGAGGAAAGCAGATATCACTAGAACAACATTTTCCAGCGTTTATCTAGAACAAACATATAATGTGCACTTTGAATTTGTAACAGTATGTAATGCTTTGCCTGCAAAGGGAAAAATAGTGTGCTGGATTGTGCATGACACATAGCACCAATAAGAACATGACTTTTCCCAAGATTATACTACTCTCAGCTGAGAGTGGACTGATGATGTTACCTAGTTTGGATAATGAAATGTCTACAGGAAAACAACCAACCTCAGTGAGCACCAAAGGCTCCTCATATCAATCCTGAGCTACAAATAGTCTCCATATCAGCTTGAATTCACTTTCACATTATTTATTTATAATATTTATTTGCCGCCCATCTCGTATCCAAAGACTCTGGACATTCATGGCATTTCTAGTATTATAAGCCCAATAACTGAACAACCATTGCATTTATAATAATTAACCACAATTTAGTTCCCATTGATTATAATTAAAAGTTGGATTCAGATCCTAG